AGATAAAACAAAGGAAAATTTCCGGCTATTGATAAAAGGGGGGAAAAGAAAATTAATAATAAAAATAACAAAAACTAAAAAAAAAAATGGAAATCTTGTAAAAAATCCGGAAAATTAAAGATATAATCTTTTCATCAGCCCACACGATTATATCCGCCAAAAAGAGTGCTTTTTGATATTGTATCAATATAGCCAAAGCAAAATATATCAGTACAATAGTGTGAGGAGCACTCAATTTTTACAAAAATTGCAAAAAATGAAATAGAACACAATAAGTAAAAGTAGCACGTGAAAACAGAAAATAAAATGTAAGGAAAAAACAGAATAAAACATAATCTGTAAAGCGAGTAGCGAAATCAAATGAATTTACATGAACCGAAAATCTTTCAAGAATGATTTAAGATATTATCGTAACAAGATTGCCAAATTGCAAAATGTGAAAACAAAAGCGCAAATTGAGATAAAAGCGTAACTAGAGGAGTTTTGTTTTAAAGTGCGTTCTTACTGCATTACTGAAGTGCGTTTGATTTGCTAGTTACCAAGGATGGATGTGCGCAAGGTAATATTATACTGGATAATTTAAAGAAGTTGACTATAATTTAAAAAAATAAATATTTATTTAAGAAAAAAAAATAGAAAAGAGAAAGAAGCATGAATTGCCTGTTTTGCTCATAATTTCAGCCACGGATTTGCCCGAAATGGATTTGCACATGGAAAAATTTTATAAATTGACAAAGAAAACTTTTTAGTAATAATCTTTTTTTAAATAAAATGTTTTTAAAAAAATATTTTAAATTAAAAAAAAAAACTGGATAACAGAATAGGTTGAAGATGTAATCTTGTTGTTGTGGTCAAGTTGCATGACACGCACACACACACACAAAATTTTTAGTATTTTTATTATTGCTAATAATTCCATAGTATAATTATTATTTAATCTAATATATTATTTTATCTAATACAATATAATTATTATGATGATGTGATTTTCTCAATTATTTTTCAGTATTAAATCATTAATTCTTTTCTGTTAAAAAACAGAATAATATTTTTTTAACAATTTGTTTAAATTTATTCATAATTTTAAGTTACTTTCATGAATACATAAATACATAACATTCACAAATAATATATACATAAACATAATATAATTTATTGGTTTTTATGATCAGCTCTTGTTCATGTTTTCATTTCTGCCCAACATATTGCTCAGTTTTGTTTAGCTCTTTGTTGCCAATGCAAAAACAGAAATTTTTATAGATATATGTGTCCACATATATTTATGTGTTTTACATGATATAGATAGTTATAAAAATGTTACTAAGTTTACTTAAATGTTGTCTTCTTTATAGCAAATATTAGTACATCTCATTTATTACAAAGAAGTTCAAATCAGAGAGGAAAGTGGAAAACAGAATCTCTTGCAAAAAGGTTAGAACATAACTTATACATGCATATTTTTTTAAAGGCATTTTTAGTTTCTTATGCTGTTTTGAATATTTGAATTTTTTTATTTTTTTTAAATAAACTTTATTTTGAAACTGTTTGTGATTGTTTTTATTATTAAAATTTTAGCTCAACTGAGGAAATGTACAACTCTATGATATCTAATTATGAGAATCGCTTTCAAATGGCCTTTAAAGAAATTGAAGAGTATAGGCTAAGTTTGCATTTCATTGAGCAGCAATTGGAAGCAGTTCTTTCTTCTGTTGGAGTAATGTTTTTGTAATAGACATTCTAGTTAGTATTTAAGAAAATTTCTATTTGTAAATTATTTCTATTTGTATTTAGGATAAATTATATCAAAATGCTTTACCTTGCTTAACTGCTATTTTGAATGGAAATAATTTTAAGGAGGAGTTAGTACAGAAATTCAGTGCCATGTTTACACAAGTGCAGCAGATAAGTTAGTTGATTTTTAATTTCTTTCTTTTGTGAACTTAATGTACATTATATGTGTGTTATATCTCTCTTTTCATTGTGCCATTATCCATCTATTTTTACTAAGAAATGAGGGCAAGCAAAAAATTATCACATCTGTTGAATGACTTGTGCTAAAGTAAATGTAACGCCCTGATAGTTAAGTGCATACTTAATTAAAAAAATATATATATATTATTAAAAACATTATTTAAAATCACAAATGGTAAAAAAAATTTATGTTTAAACCTATGCACATTTTGGTGTCACAATGGTACATCTTCATCAGCAGGATGAATGGTAGGGTTGATAAAAACAGAGAGATTTGATCTAACAGAGGTTATATGTCCTACTAAAGAGTTAAAGGTGTCGATATATAGTTAAAGGTAAAACATTAAAATAAATCCAAATCTTTGAGAAATATGGTATAGCAATAAGATCATTAATAATGAACTTTTTGTCTTTGGTATAGAAACCAAATCAAGGCATGAAGCATGAAACTCTTTTGTTAATGATCTTATTGCGACACCGTATTTGAAAATCATTAGGTCAATGCATGAAGTTTACTTTATATGTAGACCTGGATTTTCAGAAAAGTTTCTACACCGTCAATAAATAAATTAATAAACTATGTTGTTAATGATTTTCTTGCTGTATCATATTTGCCAAACATTGGGAAATCATTATTTTTTTACTGTTTTACCTTTAACTGTATATTTATCTCTTTAGCGTGATATAAGCTCTATCAGATTAAATTGTCTCTGTTTTTACCATCCATGCCATTTATCCTACTGATAAAAATGTACCATCTTGACACGTGTATAACTTTTAATAACAAAAATTACTATTTGTGATTTTAAACCTTGTTTTTATTGAAATTTAATTTTTTCAGGAAGACTTGCTCTCGTAATTTTATAAAATATTATAATTGTCGTCTTATGTCTATTACAACTTTCAAGTTTAATTTTGTCCTCGGTCACTGCTCAATTCTTTTATTATAAGAGGGGAAAAAAAGGAAAGAATTAATAATAGAGGAAACCCCCTCAGTCCGACTGTAATTAATTTGCGGAAAATTTCACCGTGTTTTAAAAAATGCATCTCTTCATGTCTATTATAAGAGATAATGCTAATGGCAAGAATTTTAAAAAAGCAGTGACTGAATTATTCCAACGGACAGTTAAGAGCATCGTAAGAGATCTATAATTAGGAATTTATCAAAAGATAAAATAGCCAAAGACAAAGCCAGCCTACATTATTAATATTAAATTTGAAATAATTTGGCTGTAGCGTAATCACCAATAAGATTGTGAGAAATTAATATAACCCTGTAACTGAAGCATTTTTGTGGTTAGAGAAATAACAGCTTAAGGAATAAAGAGTTGGAAATAGATTTTGATATTAAATTTAGTTGTGCCAGTGAATTAATGAGATATACATTTGTATTGAACTAAAAAGTTAGCCCTTACATTAATTGTTAAGAAGAGAAAAAAAATGGATCAAGCGAGTGATAATTTTCTTTTTATAAAATGTGATAAAATTTAAATAATTAGTTCAATTTAATTAAAATTTGATTAAAAATGGTTATGAAAATTAAATTTATGAAATTTTGTAATGCTTATAATGGCATCACAGTGCTTATATTGTTTCTCAAATTTTAAAAGCGATTGAATGAGTTGAGTAATAATATAATTAGAGGTTATACTTTTGTATAATTTTAAAATGCTATCTGTATTAAATTATATTTATTTTAGTTGCAAGCAAAGTTAGTGATAACAAGAATTTATCTGAGGAAGTGGAAACTTTAAAATTTGAGATACTGAACCTGAAAAGCAATGAAAACACAAATATTTGCCAGGTATGTATACCTTTTACACTTGTATCTGTTTACTTTCATTTATTAATTTAACCAGATTGAATTACTAAACAGCTATTAACGATCTTTTAATTTTGCTGTTGAAAATAAAATCTTTTATGCATTTATTTCAACTAAGGTTATTTAAAGCACATTTTTTCCCTAGTGTCTACCATGTCCATATGATATTCATCTTAGATAATATATAATATATCATTCGGAAATATTAAATTACTATGCTTTTATCTTTTATGCCAAAGGTGGTTTTTTAAGGTCGGATCTGGCAATTATTGTTTTTCCAACTTGTATTGATCAGAAAGACTGACAACTTTAGACCCAATGGCGTGTGAAAGTGGAAGGAAATCTTAATTAAACAATCAAGGAACAGTCAAACTCTCTTAACAAACCTTGGCTGACCCCATAAAAACATTTGCAGCAAATTGGTAGAGTGAGAAGAGTATGTTATTGGTCTTTGCAAAATCTGTCCAAAGAAAACAAGGTTAAGCGGTCTACCACGTGTAGCTTATTGCCTCAGCAGTTCTCTAGAAGGGTATTTTTCAATTGCTGATCATTTGAGGAGAAATATAGGTACTTGATAAAAATCTAAAATGCTAAAGGTATAGGCTCTCTCTTAATGCCACAAGGAGCAGCTAAGAAAAGTTTATATACCAAAAAAGTGCTTCTGTGTGTGTCTGGGGAAATATTTGTGATTTTTTTTTATTTTGAAGTGCTGAAGCCTGGACAAACAGTAACAATTATTGTAAATTATTGAATTGAGTAATCTTTACTTAAAAAGTGTATTGCAATTGTCAACATGCAAGAGTTCCACAATAAGATTTTACAAGATTTCAGTGCACTAGGGGAATCCTGGAAAAAATTTATAAATTTGAGGATAGGTATTACCTCACTCGCCTAGTCAAATCTTTCAAATACATCATGTCACAATTTTGATAGTTTCCCTATATAGGAAAGGAAGAAAATTATATTCATTTACTGTTTTCCTATAATTTGTACATTATTAATGTTTATTGTTGTGGTAGTGCATTTTTAATTGATTCTGAATTGTGATTGGGCAGAAGGAAAACCATCCACCTGACGAATCATCTTTATCAAATGATGGAAGAATCTGTAAAAGTAAGGAAGACAAAACTGTGAGTGAACAAAAAGAAGAACTTGCTTCAACTCTTGCTCAAATTAAAGAGGAGGTATTGTAAAATTTTATTAGAATTTGTGTTGGATGTAAATTGAGTCAAAATTACATTTACATGGAATTTAGTATTTGATTTTTTAATCACACTGTGTTAGTTCAATTGTTTTTGTCAGATATCCTAAGTTTTTAAAATTCATTATCTTTATGTGCATGTACACAATACATTTTTCTTGAGCATCGAACATCTAAATGAAATCTAACTGTTATCCAACTGTAGTTGACAGAAAATTAAACTAATCTCATGAATAAGAAGACATAATTCCATCATAAAGGTTTTTTTTAAATATTATTATTTGTTGCCTTAACTTTTAAGTAAATTTAACATGTCTGTTTATAATGAGTTTTGCAGCTTAAGAGGAAAACTAAAAGACAGCACCAGTATAAAATGTTACAAAACAAAAAAAGTTGTTTTGAAATTCTATCTTAAGTATGGTGAAATGTTCCACAAATAGATCATTTTCGGAAATACTTTCAATCAGCAAAGGTTCTTCTAAAAGACTGGATTGGATTTCAATGAAGTGGAAATTTTAATGAATGTATTCATTATTCTTCATTGAATAAGATTGTGAAAATTTAATTATTCATTAAAAAAATTACATTTAAAAAAATCTATTATAAAAAAAGCTACTTAATATCAAAGGAAAATATCTACAAAATTAAAACATGCATTTTAAATGATTTACATACTAATAATATAAATACAAATTAAAATTTCATGTAGTATATAAATGTGAAACACCAAAAGTCTATTACTATTCACATACTTTTAACTTTTCATGCTCAACGTTATTAAAAAACCTTTTCTGTTTAAAAATTCTGAAAGTATAAAAAGTGGTAGTAACATAACTCCATTAATTGCATTTGCTAAAGTTATTTTAAAAAAATCATATCTACTATGCAATACTCTTAATTAAGAAATACACATTTTGAAATGAAATTAATCAACTACAGATTTTTATTTATTTTTATAAACTATAGTGGTTACATGCAGTATTTTTCTAAGTAATTTAAACAAAACCTTGCTAATCCTTTAAACAGCACTCTGAGCTACTCTGTAAAAATGTACCTCGACGCACACTTTAAACTCAATTTAGTGTACAATCTGGTTACTTTCCTTCCCAGAAAACCAGTTTTCCTCCATGTTATTCAATGGAAAAATTATGCTTGTCAGGGAAATTTTTGTGCATATTTGTACTAGTAATGGGAAGTTAAAGATCTAGCTATTACTTTTATCTTTCTGAAAGTCTTTTATTGAATTATATATAATTCCATAAAAACTAAGGTTAAGACTTGTTATTTTTAAATCAAAATTTCCCTTTTTTCTGTGTTTAAATATTATATTTTCGGTCATGGGGGAAAGAAACAATTTCAGTTTTTCTTAGTTTATCTGAACTTAGTATTTTATTTTATTGTTTTTGTTAAAATAAAATTATATATTTTATTTTTTATAGAAATCAAAGCTTGAAGCTCAAAAGTTAGTCTTGATTAAAAGTTTTATGAAGCAAAGTTCATCGAATAGCCCAAAATGCTCAAACTCAGTGCCTTCTTTTTGTGTTTTAACAACAAAAAATGGAGTTACATCTGTCCCAGCTATACATCAGCTAAAGGAATGTCTAAGTTACCCAGATAGTATGGCAAAGTAAGTACTACATTATTTTATGTTCATTGAATTACTTTAATTTGTGTTTCTAAAACATTGTTTAATGCTTTTTGATTGAAGTTTCCTGTCAAAGTTTTAGCTACTTGTACTTAGTCAAAAATACAAAGAGATAGTCTCTATTTTAGTGTATATAATTTTGTGTCTGAGGTTTTTTACTTAATTGTTCCAATATGTACTTTAATGTAGTCAAATTAAAGATTATTTTTAGATGTTTTATAATCTATAGTAAAAGAAATAGGATTCAAACTAACAATAAAAATTTTGTTAGAACCACTTAGGTATTCATTTCGTGGTCCAAAAACTTAATATGGTTGACAAACTTGAGAAAAAAAATTGAACTTTACAATTACATAATTCATGTTATGATACACATCAAAAATTAGTAATTGTCATATATAACACCCTGAAATTAATTAAGTTCATTACTCCAGAATTATTGAAGATTAATATTAATTAAAATTAATGGGGGGAAATATTAGTAAGTAGATTCAACCTAGAGATTAAAATGCTGGGACTAAATAAATATGGAAAATTGAGAAAAAAAGAATTAGCAAAATATTATATTAAAAATTATTTATTTAAAAATTATGAAATTTTAAGAAAAGTAAATTTTAAAAGAGTATAAAATATTAATTTATTGATGAACAATTATTCTGTCATTACATGAATGCAAAGCACAGCATAACATGCAGATTTGAAATTTAAACATATAAATTAAAAAAAATTTGTACCAGACACTTCCATTTATTTTATTTGAATACCATGTGTAGAATAATGAAATTAGTATAACAGAATTTTTTTTTTTTTAATGCTTGGAATTCGATGCAAAAAATTACTTTTCATTACTATTTTATAAATTCCAAACATATTTCAAGGCGAAAAATTGAGTATGGTTTAGCAACATTTGGCTGCGATTGTTGTCATACTAGACTGAACCCTAAAAATAAATCACTTTTCTTTGTTGGTGTTATTTCTAATTTATCTATGGCATGCTTCAAAGAAACAACTCTGATTCTTTAGAATAATTCATGCAAATTTAACTTTCATTCAAGTCTATCATTTTGATAAAAATAGATACTACAGTAGTCCTCACTTTATGTAAATTTTTTTTAGCACAATGACTTTAATAACATTAATTGATCGACAATTAGAAATGAATATATGTAGCGATAAATTTTCAAACCACAGTCTTAGAGCTTATTTGAGTTACCTTTACCAGTTTTATTTCATTTGCTCTCTTTGTTTTTATTTTGCCTAATGAGACCATCAGAGTTTCTCAAAATTTTGCAAAGTAGAGATGAGAAATATTTCATTGTGGTACAGCAATGCGTTGACTTATTTTTGGTAATCTTTCATATAGATTTAAAGTGTTGAAATTTTTTTTTAATGTTAAATCTCTTCCCTTTGTGCTATCCATACCATCTAACCTTTTGCAAAGAAGCAGGCATAAAATGCTTCATGCTCAATCTTGGTTCAGATAAGAATGCTCTTTTAAGACGTTAAAATGTTCATGCGGTATTGACAGCTGATCACCATATACCAGTCTACCTTTAGTTAAAAGCGCATCTAAAGTGAAAGAGGAAGAATTCTCATGCATCGAATTAATAGCGCAGGGAAGGAAAAGGTTCCTTCTAAATTACTCTATTGAATTGAGAAAAAATTTGACCATAGTATTTTAATAACAATAAGCGAATTACAGTACAGAACCCGTTATCCGGAAATCGGAAAACTGAAAAACCGGAACGAAATTCTATAAATTTTCCCGCCATTTTTTTTAAAAAAAAATTTTTTTTTCCTCACAGGATTTTAGGTTTTTTCTTTCTTTTTTGATAGATGTTTACCTTACCATCATTTTGCAAATAATCATTAGTGTATTCCTTCATCGTTTTTTCTTCTTTTTAAGATTTCTTCTTTTAGGTTTTCTTCTTTTTCCAAATATTTATTTTTTTAGTTGGGTTTAACAATAAAAAAAACGGCTTTTTGTAGCGATTCAGAAAACCGGAAAAATCATTTATCCGGAATAGTGATGGTCCCGATCGTTCCGGATAATCGGTTCCCTACTGTATTAACTGTGGCAAAATTGAGCAGAGACTGCTGTATAAATTTTTTTATAATTAAAACCAAATGCTTTTATTTAAATACTATATCCTTTTCAATTTCCTGATTTTTGAAGTAGTTTGTTTTGGAAAAAACTCTAAAATATTTTTAGAAAGAAAGTGCTTCTTTAAAAAGCTTGCTATAACAGTATTAAACTTTTCTTTTCATATTCTGAAATATAGTACTGTGATAAAGTGTTTTAAACTGAAAATTTTAGATCATTATCCCCACTTTGGAAAGCAGATCTTTCAACATCATTACAAAGTTCGCCTTCTACTTCAGTATTTGAAGATAGTCCCTCATCATCTTTTCCAGTATTTACTTCTCCACCGATACTAAATGATGATCTTCCTAACTGGGCTCGGACTGTGAGGAATACTTCAATCTGTGAAGAGGATTCAGTTAATTTAGAAGGTTTTGCAGCTGAAGGGGATGTTATAAAAACAGACAATATATCTGCTATTCAGTCCTTTGAAGAGGATAACTTGGCAAAACTGAAAGCTGCTGCTGAGGACATTGAAAGTCGTAGAATTAACTTTTTTGCAAAGGGAAAATGATCTCCATGTTTTGTTTGGTTATATTTAATTTATCTTTGGTGTACTTACATTTGTAAACTGAATACAATGATCATACATTTTAACTATTTACAAAAATTTTGCTTTCTTGTATTGTTGATATCATTCATCTCTACTTAGTAATCTCATATACCAAAATATTTTTTCATGTGCATTTATGTAAATAGGTCTGAAAAATTGAATATGTACAAGCTAAATAGTTGAAATGACTCCTTTGCCAGTATCAGCATTCACTAGTGCAATATGTAGGCCTAAATTAGATGTGTAAATTATATTTTGAGGATTTTTTAGTATAACTATTCAAATGATTTACGAAACTTCAAGTTCATTTGCGTAAATAATATTGTTTGATATATTTTTATACATATCCAAGTGCCTTTTTTATGAAACACATTTCTAGCAGTCTTTAATAGTTTTTTTTTTTATATTTAAAAACATGAATAATTCCGATGAAAAACTTAATTAATTATAGTAAATGCATTTATGTAAATTGGTCTGAAAAATTGAATACATACAAGCTAAATAGTTGAAACTGTTGCTTTGCTAGTATTAGTATTCATTAGTGCAATGTGTAGGCCTAAATTAGATGTATTATATTTAGAGTACTTTTAAATTTAACTATGCAAATGATTTATGAAATTCTAAATATATTTGCATATTTAATAGCATTTTAAAATTTTTATACAAATGCTAAGTGCCTTTTTTATGAAACATTCTAGTAGTCTTTCATAGTTTATCTTTTTATTTAAAAAACAGAATTAATTCTGGTCAAAGATGTGCATTTTAATGTATTATGTCTGGTATAAGTAGTAGAAAAGTTATTGTATCTCAAAATATTTTCTAGTTCAGCCTAATGATGACAAGTGCTTTGTGCATTTATTTTATGAATATCTGTCAATTTATTGAATTCAATGAAATATATTTCCCTTACGCATTGTTAAAGTTAACTATATTTATTACAGAGCATCTATTATTTTTCTTCAAACTTATAGGCTAAAAGTGCTTTCAGATCTATCACTAAAATTGCTTCTCATTATTTTTGTGTTAGAATAATTTATTAAAAATTTAAAAAGTGATATGTTTGTAAATATTGAGTTGAATTTCAAATAATAGTCCATTGTGTCTATATTTTATCTATTATCTTTAAAAAGATTTCTAGAAGAAAATCTTTAGACACATTTATTTGTCAGTTTTACTTCTGAATTTTTCTAACTTTAGACACCATACATGATGAGAACATCATTTTGTATTTCTATTGTTTTAGTTTTATTTAAATATTGCATATTAAATTCATTATCTACATTTAAAAGTCCAATTTTTCAAAATATGCCATTTTACTTTTCTGGGTAAAGCTCCAATTTTTACAAAATAGACAGAAATAGTTTAAAATTTGTTTTAGATTTGTAGTAAAAAAGTCAGTTAGTAATAGAAACTTTTGTAAACATTTACAAAACAAAAACTTTTAATATATATATGTGAGTTTTTTTTAAATAAAATGTAATCACTGGCTATATATAAGTATGAGTAAATGAAGCACATATTACTGATAAAGATGCTAATTTTTATATAAATCATATACAAGCTCCTTTTCTTATTTGACAGATAGATTTTGCAAATTTTTGTAGTTTTAATTAAGAATGTAACTGCAAAATCAAAAAGCTTAATCGGAATACCTATTGTCGAAAATCTTGAATGATATTTTTTTGTAATAGTATAAAACTATTGCTCAACAGCATTTTAAATTTAATATTTCAAGCTTCAAATATCATTACTAATGTTCTTATATTTAATTAATAATAAGAGATATATATTCCACTTTTGTAATTTTTTTAGTTGGTTTAAAAATATTTAAGCACTTGTTAAATGTGCTTTATTTTATAACAAATAATTTATTTTTGCACGCACCGTGATCAGTTAATTAGCTTTCTTTCTAATTTTTGCTTAAAATATTTATTTCAAAATTTCTTTTTTAATAAAATATAAAATTTCTCACTGTAATTCGTTTTAAAATATTTTATGAATCAGAAATCCAATTGAAATTGAGGCAAACATTATGTTAAGTATACTTTACTACTTTAAGTATACTTTAATTACTTTAAATTAATTGTAAATTAATCTTTACTCTACAGAATTGCTTATGTCTTATTTAAGTATATTTTCTTATCATTATTGCTTACCGTAGTTTTTTGATGATTTGAATATGGTTTTTGGTGTTTGGTTTGTAATGTTTATGCTTTTGACGGTAAATGATTTTTGATGTTTGTTTTGTCAAAAAGTTATTCTTAAAAAATATATGTATATAATCTGTCAATTTGCTCGTTGCCTTTGATATTATATTCAGTTATACTTAATGAATTTACTTCCCTCATTTTTGATTCTGATTTATCGAATTTTGACAGTCAGTTTTATTATTTTCGTATAATATTGAATAGCTTCAAAATTGCTGGGATCTTCAATTGTAATCTCATTAGATAAGTAGACGTTGTTCATCTTTATTTAATTCTGAAACTGTACTACATTTTCTAATTTTATTAAATTGAGTTTTGATATTTGGTGTCGAAGTGCAATTGAACTCTGAATCTTCTGCTACCTCATTAGGCCGAATGTTGTATAAATTTAGACTAAAAAAGCTTAAAATGTTAAAAGTTATAAAAAAAAAATTGTAGATTGTGCATACTGGTTTACAATAGCTCTAGAAAATTACTTTATTGTATTTATAATGTTTTGTATTATGTTTTGTATTAATAATAATTGTACAATTTTTAGGATTATAAATTAATATCTTCTGCTGTTTCAAAGATAATAAATTTTTTACATTAAACTTTTCTAGTAGGATTATATCTAAGTGAAGTGTGGTATATATACACATTATTTATTTTATTTATTTAAGATTCGAAGTTGATCCGATATTGTTTAACATCTGAAATTTGGTACATTTGAGGAAGCTCAAGATTTTAAATTATAATATTTATGTAATTACAAACATTGTTAAGAGTTGATAATTTTTAAGTCCTGTCGCAAACCAATCTTACATTTCATAAAATCCAAACATTTTTATAATTTTATGAATTTTAAGCACTTTTTTTCTCGTTTTATATTTATAACTTATGCCCCATTGGGAATTTAGCAGACATCAATTCAGAGTTATAAAATATTGCTTGCTTCTAAATAATGGTAGTTGGCAGTTTTAATGGATTTCAGATACATAAGACACTTTTATGATTTAGATACTTTGATTTTTTTGGGCCCACCTTAATGCATTATTATGGCAAAATTATAATTCGTTGACTTATATTGTTTATTCCCAGAATTTGGATCAAGTTTTTACTCCTGTAAAAAGTAAAATTTACAAATCAGGAAGAAAAGAACCTTAGTTTACAGCAATAATGAGATTTACACTTTGATGTATCACATATCAATACCAAATTTTATACATTTTAACACTCGTATATTTTAGTTTCATGTTAATTATTAATTATCATAACCCCAGGAGAGTTATGATAATTTAAGTTATGAAAATGTAAATTGTGATCATACTGTTCAGTGTTCCAATTTGCTTAAACAACTAATAATAAATTTTTTTTATAAGAAGGGGACGTTTTCCATTAAAATCAAAAATTGTGCAAGCTTTGAGACATTTTATATCCCTAGTGATTAGAAAGAAAATTGTAATATCTTAAAACTAATTCTATAATGTTAGTACATTAAGATGTGCTAACATAGTGAATATGCATAACAATTTTTTCAAAAATGTGATCAGTAAAAACTTGCCATTTCACATTTTGATTTTATATGCAGCATTGCCAGATAATTGATGACTAATATGTTCAAATATAGTAAATTTTCACCATTAATTAAAATTTGAGAAATGAAATTTTTGATCAGTCCAAATTTTTATATGATGAGTTTTTTTTTCTTTTTTCCCCTAGTTATCTGAAATTGCCAGTAATTCAAATTAGCAGACAAAACCACTAAAAAAGATTTGAAATTTGCTTACTGTATTTATACTATGTATAGTACTGCTTCTAAATTCATTTGTATTTATCTCTTTTTTGTATTAGTTTGTGCTGAGCTCTGTATTGTATATTAGTGTTTAAAAAAAAGAATTTGACTTTTACGCATACAAATTCAATAAATTAGTAATGAAACAATAAATTGTTTCCCCCCCCCCTATATTATCACTTACGACTTATAAAAGAAAAATAAGTTTAAATCAATAAGTGAAAACTATGCACAATTATGATTTAAAAATTAGTTATATGTTTATTTTCAACATTTTATAGAATATATTAAATTGATAATAAACTTAAAACATAGTTTGGAAACTGGTTTAATAATCAGATTTACAAGTTTAAATAACAAAATTAGAAATTATCTAAAAAGTTAGGATTTTTTAAATAAATAACCTTAAATCTCAAGTAATTATGCAAGAACCTATTTTTTTCTTACTCAAATATTTTTAACACCACAGCCTAGTTCAAACCAGTTATTATTTTCTGATATGCTTTTACGTTATTAACTCAAAAATTTTCTTTCAGTTCCAGATTGCAAGTCCATATTTGTACAGCAATTACTGATTTCACATTTAACATAACTCATAAGTATTAAAACAAGATTGTTTTTACAATTTTCTTAAATTACTATTTTTTTTTATTTTTTTTTATTTTTACCAAAAATCGCTTTATGAACTCAAGCAAATTTTGGCTACTAGATAAGGTTTCTGTAAGTGATGTACTTTAGGCTTTTATAGAAATTTTTTTTTTTGTCACTCAAATATTTTTAACACCACAACCCTAGTTTAAACCAGTTAATATTTTCTGATAAGCTTATATGTTATTAACTCAAAAATATTCTTTCAGTTCCAGATTGCAAGTCCATATTTGTACAGCAATTACTAATTTCACATTTAACATAACTCATAACTATTAAAACAAGATTGTTTTTACAATTTTCTTAAATTACTATTTTTTTTACCAAAAATCACTTTATGAACTTCAACAAGTTTTGGCAACTAGTTAAGGTTTGTGTAAGTGATGTACTTTAGGCTTTTATAGTACATAGTACCCTTTATTTATTAGGTATACATCAAATGTAATGATATTTATTACAATATTGTAATAAAGTGAAATTGACAATTGTATTTATACATATAATATTTACACAGTTATTTACAAGTTCCTTTTACAGTTAGTTAGCAGCAGCTACTTTTCATAAATTGCTAGTCGAGTAATATACATTATGAAATATATTATCAACTATTGCAAGGTTAAATAAATTTCTAAAAGCAAGCTTAAAATTAATTGGAGATAAATTCCATGTGAATTTTATGGTTAAAGTTAAACACATTTTTGAAAAATGTCTTTGTTCGTTTTGAAGCGTACAAATATTGTCGCAAAGTATGAGGACATTTATTGCTTTAGGTAATGTTCTTATTATTTATCAAGACAAGACAAAAGTTGACTCTTGGAAGCACAAGTAGTCTGTTTCTGCAAATGGCAGTCATCAGCAATACAGGTTCTTTCAAAAATATTCAAGTAAAATAGAGCAATTGAAGGTCTTATTGTGAAATGATGACAAGGTACAAGAAAAAGTGTGGTGATGGTGGCTCAAAGATTGTATAATTCTGTAACTTAGTTTCTTGTGTAATTATTTATATTTAACCTTATTTTTAGTTCTTTCCTTTAATTATATATATATATATATATATATATACATATANTTTTATGAACTATATATATATATATATATATATAGTTCCATGAATTCTTGTTAAAGTTTAATTCAAAAAGTTTATTGGTCACAATAATTGCAAATTAATGTGTAATCCAGTTGTGACCAAAAACGTTTTCAAAATAACTTAAACATTTATGAGAAAGGCGAGATTAAAGACATTAGAACCTATTTGATTTTCTGGGGAAAACTGAAACGATGTGAAATTAGAAAAATACTTGTATTAGAAATATACCCAAGTCTCATTCGGATATCAAACTGATTTTGATGTCTTTGGGCCACCTTCTTTCAATGATTTGTAAGATTCTAAAAACGTTTTTATTTTTACTTAGTTTAATTTTTGATTTCTTATGTTCATACTTTTTAATTTCATTTTTGAAATGAATTTTAAATTTATACATAAAGATTGCTGATTCCGAAATACTCTGTAATATAAACTGAGCCTGTAGAAGAGGATAAAATAGACTTTTAACATTATTTAAAAACTGGGCTTGTTATATTACGTTCTTAAAAAAATTTCTAAATTGAACTGGAAAGACTTGCCATTGTTTCACAATAAATCCAACAATTTATACTGCGCTGATGAAAAATTGCTCTGCTGGCGGGAAAGAAGTTTGTTTTCTGGTAAGTGTGACTTGAGTCTTTTTGTGTAGAAGGTCTTCTCTCAGTCTTTTCACTTCGAACTCTGCCTGAGATCTTAGCTGAAAAATATGGCACGTAAATAGTTGTAGAAAGTATATGCAATATAATACAGAATTTATTAAATATTCTGGTATTCTTAAAAAATTATGGCTTTAAATGATGTAACATTAAATTAATCTGATGAAATTGAATTATTCAAGATTTTCAACTGTAGTGGCGAAACATTTTATTTCATGTTTTATAACTGGCGTTAAACAGTCTACCCAATTCTGAGTTTACAATTATCAATGTTCAACTCCATTGCATTTCAATTTTGAACTCAACCCAGAAGACAAGGGAGTTCCTGAATCAAGCATTGGGATAAAATAGCATTCACGAAGGATTTTTTGATGGAACTACTCGCATTTGCGTTACATGGAAAGGAAAATACCGAAAACCTCACACAGTTAGCCCAACGGCTAGGGGACTCTTAACTCATTATCCGTCTACCTCTGAGTATGTTATATGTTAGCTCTGTGTTCGGTGCGAACGGGGAGCAGAATTTGTATCTACCAGCCAACTCTGGTATTCGAACCTGGGTCACCACATTGGAAGGCGAGCGCTCTATTCTCTGAGCTACCGTGTGTCTAGAGGTAGAGCATTGTAAAAAACTAATTTTTTTTCAAAGCTCTTTTAAAAAAATTTTAAACTTTATTTATTTTATTTTTTTTGAAAAAGAAGGTGAAACATTTAGCCTGTTTCTGAAGACCTGACTAGCCTGTTTCTGAAGATATTGTTTTTATAAATGGCTATATACATCACCTAACCATAATCAGGTCCCGTTTTTCAGGACTATCATTTTTAGCAGCCACATAATATTAACTCCAGTTGGACAATGCCTGAGCAGGTACCACTCTTTTCCCACTTCCACACCACAACCGACGAGAAGACTATCGTTGTGTTGGAACTTGCTGCCAGGGCCCGACTTAGCCTGATTGGGGCCCCGGAGCAAAAACTTCTTTGTGGGCCCCACGACTTCTGTAATGAAAAACCGAACTTTATATGAAGGTATTTAAATTTTTTACCTCATTATAGATAGCAAAAACATTTACTAGAACCTAAAATAGCTATGCAGTCCCCCCCCCTACAATGGTCAGATGACATATCGTTCTGTCCATTTTATTGATTTTCTGACTCTTCTATGTCCATCATGCAGTTTTTTGATTGTTAACTTAGTCATATTGCTGCGAAAAAATTCATATCTTTGCTGACATTAGAGCTAAATTCAGCTAAAATTTCGCAACTGCGATGGCTCAATTGAGCCAATCAGAAGGTATTGTATCGCATTTTGTGATACGTAAAAATACAGGCTTTTGATTGGCCAAATTTGTCCATCGTAATTACGAAAATTCAACTGAATTCCGCCCTAGAAAGCCATGGATTTACAAAATATAGATTGTATTCATATAATAGATTAATGAAGAAGCTAACATAAAACTGACAGATTTAGCACTGTACTGATATTTTGTTTAAAAAAAGTTCATTAAAGAAGGAAACTTAAAATAAACTTTCTATTCAATTTAGGGGCCCCCTCTAATGTGGGAACCCAGAGCAACTGCCCCGTAAGCTCCTGCCTTAGTCAGGCTCTGCATGCTGCATATACATGCCAGTTGCTTAGTCAGCATCCAGAATCAAACTTACGACCTCTGTATCTGCACCAGTGAAGTGAGCGTGGCCTTCAGAGCGTCTATAAATGACTATAAAAAATTAAAAATAAGTGTAAATAAAATAGCTCTAATCCAAACTATTTAGGGCTGATCTTGATTAGATTACCATAAATTCGTTTAGTTGTCCTGTGTTTTGTAAATGTTCTGTAAGTCCTTACTAGCAGTCTAGTAAGTTTAAATTTTCTTATTAGTTATCAAAATTTAAATATCTTTAATTTTATATTGATTTAGCATTTTAATTTTGAATTTCTTTTGTTTAAGGAAGGAAACAAACAGTACCTTTGTTTCTGCATTCAATCGAATTGTAACAGACTGGAGACGCCTTCTCAGGTCCTCAACTTCTTGTAGCAGGCGCATAATCATGATTTTATAGCTGGTCTGTAACAAAAATAATATCGCTTTTAAATTGCAATTTTAATGATGGTATTCAAGTTTGATTGACACGTACTATGAATGGTCGCTGAGATTTATGTAAAAATATAAAGGGAATACAATTATGTTTTTCAAAATCTTTATCTATAAATAGTTTTTTTAATAACGTTCTATAAAATTTGTTGAAATATAAATGTTCTTAATAAAGGTCTTCGCGAAATTAATTTTATGAATGGGTATTTAATTATGGAAATTATTTTAATCCTCTCAAAGTGTTTTTACTATTTCTGTTCACTGTTTTGCTGCGTAACAAATAGTTTTTTTTTCAGTTATTTTAATTGAGAACTGAGTGTATTGAAGCGATTTGTACAAAATTGTATATTTTGAAGTATAAAATTGTCTGTACATGCTTAACGTTCAAACATCAATTTTACTATTGTTAGATTATATTCTTATAAAAAATTTCATTATTAATTCGGCTATTTTATAGATCTTTTCTTAGTCTCATACAGCTGCTATTTTAAGATACTTTGGTCGTCATAGTAATGGAAAGTATTAAATGACTATCGCTGCTTTAAATTATAAGTAATTATATAGATTTTCATAGTATTGACTCAAAACAAAAATAGTACTTAATTTGATGGACAGTCTTGTTCCTAACTAAAGTTTTATTTAAAGATTTACACGTTTGAATAATGAGGTTACAGATTCGGTAAAATCCATCTATATTTAGGAAAGTCTATAACTGATGTAAATACCGTATTGGTTAATAATTCATTATTTAAAAATAGAAATCTGGTATTAGTATTGATCTTTAATTATTGCACTAAAATCCGTAAGAAACTGCATTTCTCTCACTAATAGTTTAACGCATGCTCATGAAAATTTAATTTCAGTACATTTTGATTTACCTTCTAATGAAATTGATTTGATGTATTTAAATAAAAAATAGTTCTTAATTTTTTAAGTACCTTTTTGGAAGGTTTGTGTGGTTTCGAGTCAGCATCCGTCTTGACGCTGACCAGCATGTCTTTAACAAGTTTCTCGAGTTCCTGCCTTAGTTTGCCGCAATGGTCTTCGAGTCGAGGTGTTGATTTCTTTACTTCCATATAACGCTTCCTCCATTCTTCACGAGCTGGATAAAATTCTATGTTTAGTTTTTCTTGGGCTGAAAAACATTTTATGCTTGCCAATTAACATGCCACACTATTTAAAGTTACAGGTTACAATATCGTTAAGTTTTAGATTATTTCGTGTTATGGTATTTACCCAAAATATATTTGATTTTATTTTTATAATCAGCGCTGAGTTTACGACTATCAGTGTTCTACTTCGCAACCTTGTAATTTTGAACTCATCCCGGAAGACAAGGGAACTCCTGAATCAAGCATTGGGAGAAATTTGTGTTCGTGTAGGACTTTTAAACGGAACTAACCTGCATTTGCGTTACATGGAGAGGACGAACAAGAAAACTTCGATTGGTTATCCTGACTGCAAAGGGACTCTTAACCCATGATCCTTCCACCACTGAGGATATTTTACGTTAGCACTGCGGTCGGTGCAAGTGGGGAGAAGAATTGGTATATACCAGCCACCGTTGGGATTCAAACCTGGTTATTTCATTAGGAGGTGAACGCTAGATCACCTGAGCCACTGCAGTCCACCCAATATTTGTTATGGTAATTTATAAAAAAGTACGAATTTAATTCGTTATTCTAATCTGACTGTTTCGATCTTTGATCTTATTCATGATGATTTGCAGAATAATTTACATTATGCTATTTCTTTTTTTTAAAAAATTTTTTATTTAAACATATCTTGTTAACATTAGTTTTTGAAAATAATAATCTAAATTTATATTAAACTGTATCAGTTAATTTTTTGGGTCGTATTGCGGAATCAAATCAACAGATTCGGTTAAAAAAATTGAAATTAATATATTGGATTCTATAGCTTTTTCTTTAACATCTGGCTTGAACCATGAAATGATTCAAATCAAGAGAATTTGATAGGACTGTTTCAAATAATAATAGGATCACCAGTAAATTTTGTCTAATCGAAAAACCTTTAATTAATCGATTCATTTTAAAGAACTTACGAGGAGCTGTGGATTTGTATATTTAAAAAATCTTAAGTATTTAACAAATTCATTTCAGTTTTCAAATGAGCATTTGAACCACTGCATTCGATTTAAAGAACCTGAAACCTTTGTTCACAGAGCTCTGTGAGCAAAGCCTGCCTTAACGCCCATAAAAAAAATTTACTTATATGTAAAATAAAAGAATTTGAAAATTAACTCTGAAAAGTTGTTTGAGGGACTCTCTCAAGTTGGGACTTAGAATACTTGCAAATACCATAATTCTTCTTTTGGATAATTTGAATCAAATAAGAACACCAGATAGGTGTTTCTGATTTTAATCGTGGTTGAAGTTAATGATACTATAAATCTAGGTCGATAACAATGTTTATTATCAGTAAATATGTACCGTAAATAATGTCAAATTAATGTGATGTATATTGCGTTATTTTTGTACTACCTTTTCACTGGAGAAAGTCATTAATAAGAATGAAAAATTTCTATTTTAAATTTATAACCGGCTTTAAACTGCCGGCCCAATTCCAAGTTTACAACTTTGAATGTTCAACTCCGTAGCCTTGTAATTTTAAACCCAAAAGACGAGAACTCTTGGAACAAGTATAGGGACAAACTAGGAAGATTTTTTGATGAAACTAACCCGCATTTGAGTGACATAGAGAGAAAAACCATGAAAGCCTCCCACGTTAAGGGAATTCTAAACCATGATCTGTCCAGCACTGAATATATTTTTCGTCAACACTGTGTTCGGTGCGAATTGAAATCAGAATTCGTATCAACCAGCCACCGCTGGGATTCGAACCTGGTGTACCTCATTCAGAGGTGAACGCTCTATCTCCTGAGCCACCATGACTCAAGATTGAAAATTGAGTGTTACTGGAGTGAATTTATAATTGTTTTCTCTAGCACCATGTCAATGTGTTATTTCAAGACAATCAGAAACTGCGCATACTTACTAGTTTCATTTGTTTATTATTAATAAAAGAAATTAAGTTGTACCGAAATCTAATTCTTTGAATCAGCGTTTGTAAAATTTTAAGTGATGCTATTGAAATATAGGCTGAAATATAATGATTTATAACATATGATATAAATGTGTATGATCATATTAAACAGGGCTGCGTAATGTCTGGAATTTAATGTAGTTATTGACTGGATTTAATGCAGTCATTGACTGGACACTAAAGGACGAAAAAACTGGAATGCGATAGATTTCAATGAAAATCTAGAGTACCTTCATAACGCAGACGATATTGTATTGTTGTTTTCCAAACCTAAGGACATGAAGACTAGAAGAAAGAGCGAAACAGGTGGGATTACAAATTAATACGAAACACAGAATACTGAAAATTAATAGCGATGAAAACTATGACATATTTATAAATGGAAATAAAATTGGACCAATAGGACACTTTTACTACCTTGCAGCGAGCGTGACTACCGAGGGAGGTACTAATCAAGACATCACAGCAAGAATTAAAAAAGCACATAAAACTACCAAGGATTTCGAAATCACCTTAAATACTAAACTCAATTTACAAATTTTTAATGCTTCTGTTGAATCTGTTTTCTTATATGGCAGAGAGTCACGGAAATTCGGAAAGCAACAAGGAAACAAACTCTATACTTTTCAAACTAAATGCCTTGGACGAATTTTAAAGATATACTGGCCAAATAAAATCTCAAGAAACAAACTCTTCTGTAAAATAAAAGCTAAACCCATCACAATAAAAATGAAAAGACGAAGATGGTCCTGGATAGTACAGATGTCCCCAAAAGACCCAATTAGAACAGCTTTGACATGAGTGTGGGATGGAAAATGATAAAGAGACTGACCTGAACTAACCTACAGACAAATGATTATAAAGAAAAGAAACTTTACGGGATGGCCTTGTTGGGGGAATGCAAGGGAAGTGGCTCTTGACAAATGGAACACTATACTTGTGGCCTTGTGCGTCACCTGACGTAAGGAAAATTAAATCAAGTAAAGTTTATGGTCAAAACATCATTATTCATCAATGATAGACTCTTTTAAAAGTACAATATCTGTCACCTCTGTCTTTTGAAGAAGCCTTTCTTTTCTGTAAATCACGTACTTTCTGCAGGAGAGCATCCCTTTTCAGTTCTCTGAGCCTTCTCTCTGCCCTCAACTCTTCAATTGAAGATTTAAGCCTTTTCACTGTTAAGAAGGTAAGAAAGTAAATGAGAAGTTATTAAGAACTGTAATTTTACTTTGTGATGATAAATTTCTGCTAAATATATCACAAAAGAGCAAATAGAAATTTAATTTTTTTTTTAATTTTTTATAATTGATTATGTAATCAACTTTATGTAAACATCTATACTAATAATAAAATAAAATATTCAATCGTTTATAAGGAAATCTAAAGGATTATAATATTTTTTGCAGGAATTTTATAGGCTAGCTTTTTTTAATAATTAATAAATTTAAATTTACATATTACTCAAAACTAAATAATCATAAGCTTAAACAAGTGTTAATTGATGATTAATCACATAATTGAAGGTTCATTATAAAATCGAAAATATCTGCTTAAAACGTCGAAAATAGTTTTCTGAATGATCAAAATATAAATGAATAAAAAAGAAAACTAGTGAAACAAAAAATTGTTGCTTTGATTAGGAATTAGTTAATGTTTTTTTAATGCGTTGTAATTTTGTTTTTCATAGTTAAGCAAAAATCTTGTAAATGTGATAATGTGTCAAACACGTTGGATAAAACTTCATTGTAATAATCTTTTGAACCAAAGCGTAAACAACACGTGCCATAAAGGCAGTATTTTTTTTTTCTGATTCGTACCTAGTTAAACTAATCATTAAATTTTAATTAAGCACTGAATAATGAAAAGAGATTATTTCGCTTAATTATCTGAAAAACTACAATGCATATTTTGATAATCAAATTCTAAATATCAATTAAATCTATTCATTAAAGATAATGACTACAATACTAAGAAGAACTACAACAATATTCTCATGCTTCATAATAATATCAAAAATACTCTATCCTATTATAGCTGACAAAATAAATAAATATCATGCATACATGTATCAAAGACTACTACTACTCAATTAAATTTACATCAAACTTCAATTGAAAATACAATATGCTCATTCACTACAACTACGGGATTTTTTAATTCAAACCATGAAGTCCAAGAATAAAAGCATTCAACTACAAATAAACAATCATGCTAACTATCCAAATAAAGAAAGGATTAACTTTGTGCTGTATTTATATAAAGCTAAACAATGTGAAAAGAACACAATCTATAATTTTGGTTTTATAATGAAGTGTCGAAAGACAGAATAAAAGGCACTGTGTTCTTCGCGTTCATTCTGCGTTTCGACATTTTAAGAATTTTCACTATAGAACCAAAATTATAGTGCGTCTGTTTATATGTCCTTATTTGTACTCTTTTTCACGTTGCTTAGATTTATGCAATCATGCTAGTTATGGATCTTCCGTCCATCTTACTTTCAGGATCAAGTTTAGCTGATTTGTAAAAACTGGAACTTCTAGGCATTGGCGTGGCAGCTCTTAATAAGGGCTTTGCAAGATCCTCTTCATTTTTCACGTCAGAGCTTCCAAGTGTGTCGATGCTGTTGCTGTCTTCTTCCGAGGCAACAAGTTCGCCGCTGTGGAAGCCTTCATCAAAATGGTCTCTTGTATTTTCCTCCGAATTTTTCAAAGAATCTCCTTCTCCTTGAAGAAGTTTGATGGGATCCATTATGATGTCCTCATTTCCCATTTTAGATTGAATACTATCATCAAATGAAAACTGGCTTCTTGCGGAATCGTGCTCACAGACATTATCCCTCAAAAGCTGGTCTATAACGTCATTGTTATCGCATGGACATTCTTTGTAAGAATGTTCTTGGTCATCTGTAATGGTTTCGCTACTTAAGTTCTTTGGAATATTTTGAATGTTCTCTACATTCGTTTCGGACTCTTTAAGAGAGTCAATTTCGTCGTTTTGTTGGTTTTCGGTACTTTCTGGAACAGTCTCTGAATTGATATGATTCTCACTTAAGTTATCCGACAAGACAGTAATCTTACCTAAATCTGGAGTTGGCGTGGGTACTGTTATACTAACATCTTTATTTGCCTTTGAAGTTTCGCTTGGTGGTCTTGGAGGCGGACTGTTGACAATTCTTTCCGATTCCTTTTCCACATCTAATGTTTCATTTTTGCTCGCTCTTTCTTCGACTAGTTCTGTTGGACTCTCTCGAATTGATTCATTCAGTTTCATAGAGTTGATTGAGGTGGACCTAAAACAAAAGGCTTTAAATTTTCAAAGCTATAATGTTCCAAATTGAAGAATATATATATATACGAGGATTATTATTTTTTTCAAGGTCCGATTAGTCGCTAAAGGAAAACTTCGGGGAAAATCTGCTAGGTCTGTGCGCAAAAGTCTTGCTCTCTGTCCGTAGTTAGCCAGGGGAAAGCGTAGATTAGAGGTTATAATTTTTGAGTACGTATGGAGCACGTAAACATGCTTCGAAAAATAGAGTCTCCCGCCAAATGTGAATTGCGCTCTGTCATTCGATTTCTGCATGCTGAAGGAAGTAATGCAGCTGAAATTCATAGACGATTGAGTAAAGTGTACGGAGAACCGTTCACGACTGATAGCAAAGTGCGGAAATGGTGCAGGAACTTTGATCCTGGACGCACAGATGTTCATGATGCAGGCGGTCAGGGAAGGTTATGCTCAACCTATAATCATGTTTTGCGCGTGGATCAGGCGATTCGCGGAAATCGTCGGTTCACAATTTCTGGGTTGAGTGAATTGCTTCCGGAAATTTCACGGTCAGCTCTCTATACCATTGTGAGTGNGAGATGAGACATGGGTCCATTATGAAACTGAAGAAATGAAAGAGAAATCCAAACAGTGGATGCATTCTTACTCCCCCAGTCGCAAACCAGTGAAGTTCAAGCACACGTTCTCCACCAAAAAGTGTATGGCTACAGTGTTACAGTGTATTGGGACAGTAAAGGTGTTCTCTTGGTGGAATTTATGCCACGTGGAGCAACGGCTCACTACAGCTTCGTACAGCAAGACTATTCAACGTCTTTGAAGGGCAATTCAGAACAAGAGAAGAGGAATATTGCCGTGTCCTTCTTCATGATAATGCGCTGCTGCACACTGCAGTTGCAACAACGATCCTCCTTCAAAGTTTTGGATGGGAAGTTTTTGATCACCCACCATACAGTCCTGACTTGGCTCCCTCAGATTTTCATTTCTTTGCTCGCATGAAACTCTGGCTGGGAGGACAAACATTTTCCACAGACAACGAGCTGCAAACCAGCTTACAGAATTGGCTGAAACTACAGGCGACTGCTTTCTATGATGAAAGTATTGAAAAATTGATATCCCGGTACGACAAATGTATGAATTGGAACGGCGATTACGTCGAAAAGTAGCTTAATGTTGTATCACATTGTTCCATTTAAAATTTTCTTGATTCTGGATTTTCCTTTAGCAACCAATCGGACCTTCAAAAAAATATATATATATATAATCTTGTTAGTAAGGTACTGTACCTATATTTAGAAGAAGACTTTCCGAACGATCTTTCCTTTACTCTTGGTGTTGGTGGACGAGTGTTCCTCTGCCTAAGTCTTTGTAAGTTTAGTTGAGTTGGAGTTGACTTGACAGAAGACATTGCGTTTCTTTTTTCAATCCTGTCCAAACTAAGCGTTCGCGGTTTCTGATTAACTGTTGAAATAATATTTCCCCCTTGGCTTTCACTAAATGATTCAGATGATGTAGGATATTCTGTAGGTGAATCTAAAAATATGATCTCAAATAAATTATTCCACAGTTTATTACAAACACTATAAAATTATTAATTTAGTAATGTAATAAGATGTATTAAAAATTTTCGTTATGACTCACAAATTTTTGTTTTTAGAAAAAATAATACCCAGGCATGAGGCACAATCTTCTTAAACTTATACTAAAGTTTGATGAGCAGTGATTATCACTCCCGCCTCTCTAAGAAAAACGAGCGTCCATTAAAAGTGTCGTGTGCACTACTGTTCGTATTTTTGCATAACTAAAAGTTAATTTTAATTGATTGAATTTGAGTGGTAGCAACATCATTAAAAGAGTCGAGCAGTGATTGCCAAAATTGCTAGTAATTTGAATTTACTGTTATAGACTTGAATAATCTTTTAAATTTCTCGCTTAATCTTTTTTTTTCTTCTTCTTTTTTTTTAAATAAAAGGTATGAACATGCAGCTCGTAAGAATACTATGAAATGACGAAAATAATTGTAGCTCAGAAAAAAAAAAGTTATTAAAATATTTCTCCTTTGCATCCTTTAAAAAGGACAATTACTTTTTCAAAAATGAAAAAAGCAGTAGTTCTGCTTACCATAACATACTAACAATATAAACGTTTATAATTAGATTTGACATAAGGTGCATTACTTTCTTAAACTTAAAGTGGTAGGTAACAGAAAGAAATATCCACTTGGCATAAATTAATAGGCACTACCACTTTCTTCGAGTAGTAATTTTTCAAATAAATACCGCTTTTTTGAGCCTGGACATAAATGGATTAATAAAAATCTGCTGATTCTTACAAATGTATTGTACCTGAATTATTGAACAGTGTGTTTCTGGATAGGACGCTAAGAGACGCACTTCGAACGGCAGTGTAGTCACCTTCTTTTAGGTAAACTTCTGGTTCTTCTGCCTAAAAATACAATGCAATTCTGTATTGTGAACTAAAGGGATTCGAATAAGTTTAGACGTTAGGTTGGAAATAAAGATTACGAAGAATTTACTTACGTAAGGTGGTAAGAAACTTTTGATTTTTAGTTCCAATTCTTGCTTACATCTTACCTAAAATAATAGACAATTAAACGAATAAAACTGTGAACATGTGCAAACCATTGTGCCATTTTCCTTAAGCAAATTATCATTTCTTTAAATCAAAATGTAAATGTCTTTAAATCAAAATGTAATGTCGTTAAAATGTAATAAGGTATTCAGTTGAAGTGTATTTCAGTTCCTTTTTAGAAAAAAAAATACGTGATCATCACCCTTTAAAAAGGCTCAATTTGCAATGAAGCATGGTTCAAAGCGTAACATTTTAAAAAATGATTTATAATTAGTTGATAATGTCTTTAACACTAAGTTTATACGAAAATAGTAAAATATTTTATAGCTGTCGTTTTTCTTTTCCATTGCGTATGTATCTAACAATTTGCGACCCCTCATGTGGACAATTTTTCGACTTCATCTTTCATTAAAATTAAAAATATGTATTAAGGGAGATGATTACTGAACACACTCTGTTTCCATTTGACTCTTTAAGCATTTGTAAATGTTTGGGAAGAATAACGACCAAGAAATAATGCTACTTACGCTTTGGCTGTAGAACACAGTATTGAAATGATCTCATCTGATCTGACCAGTTACGAATGATCGACAATAGATTCGATTTTGCGAAAAGACGTTTGCCACACTTTCATTATTAAAAGGGGAAATAAAGGCGTATAAAAAAATATCAGAAAAAACAGTCACTATTAAAAATCTATAATAGAAGGCGTCGTTGTAGAAAGAAAGTAATAAAAGTAAAAGCTTCAAAGAGGATCGGAAAAGAAATGTACCAATCGATCTATCATACTTTGGTAAATATTAAATAAGAAATATTTAAGAAAATGCATTCGCATAGTGCTTAGAAACCTTTTGTTTTAGAGATTTGACGAATTATAATGACATACTTTCGGGATATTTGTTTTTCTTTTTGAACCCCGAGGGGGGGGGGAGATGCATTATGCATATTTTTTTTTCTTACTTGTTCTTTGTCGAATATTAGAATGCATTACATTAATTTTATGTTGGTGTTTTGTTTCTAGAAATCTGTGTATTATATGTTTATTTGTGTATTTACTTGTAAAATATAATACACTTTTTAGTTGATATACAAAAATGTGAATCGCTGAAAAATTTCGAGGCACTTCATTTGGTTCGTAAAAAAAAACTAAATATTTTGAGGTATGCTCCAGTATGTAATTCAGTTTCAGCTAGAATAGTTTTATATTTCTGTTTAGTTAATCACTAAAAATTATGCCTTACACTTTTGTAGAGTGAGCAGAAAAAAAAAAGAAAAAAAAATTGAATAACATTCTTCTCTATTAAGTTCCAATCTTAAGGCTCTATAAAGGGATACCTCAATTATGCATTTAATAAGTGCTAATTATAAATTTAATTACAGGCATCAGAAACAAAAACATACTTTCTCTCCACTATAATTTTTGAGAGACTTGGATTTTTGACCATCAAATTATAGTAGGTAGCCGTAGTCTGGAAAATATGGTTCTAATAGCTGGGTAGAAGAGCAGTCGAAAGTTTGGGCCTCTCAGTGTAGCACTTACAAGTTTAATAATTGTATTAGGATTACAAGTGCTTAAGTATTTTTTTGTCAAAACTTTTTCTGTCCGTTAGATTTCTTAGAAATTGTTATTCTTAATATACATATGTTTATAGCAAAATGCTTACTTGAGTAAAATTTCTTCCCACACTGCGCAAAAACACAAAAGCTTCTGGAACATTTTCCGATCCCAATTGCGTACTGATTTCACTCCGCAGCTCTAGAAGAGTGGTTGACGGCAGAACTCTGGGGGAAAAAAAAAGTTTTGCATTACATCATAGTAGAATTTAAAGCAAGAAACATTATTAGAATTTTATATTTTCAGAATATTAAAAACATGGAATATTATAGAATTTTAAAAGAATAGTTATCAAAAATTATCTGAAAAATGCACAGTGCTTAAAAAAAAAAAAAAATTATTTCTGCAATAGTTATGATTTTTTCGTTCGACAAAGGCAACCTAAAAGATTTCGAAAGATCGATCTTAATATATTAATTAATGTGTCCAGACGATATCTTAAATTAAGAAATTAGAGACGAAAACGCACTTTTTCTGAAGAAACATATCTTTTACGAACTAAACGCCAAATTTAATTGTTCATACTAATTAATTACTGCAGACAATATTTTAATTTATGAAATGAGACACAAAAACGTACTTTCTCTGAATTAAATTGCCATTTTTTAAATGGATTTGAAGTATTGTTAATCAAAATTTAAGGGTAGATGCAATCAGAAAAATATGATCCCAATTTATGGTCAAATAGTACCGTAATGTTAATTTTACTTTTTACTCATTTTCCTAAATCTCAGGAATATGTGACACGTTTATCTTGGGCCGTGAAAATCAGATCTTTGGATCAAAAGTTATTCAGGTGTTGTTGCGCTTTTTGTTTTGCACACTGTACAAAATAAGTTTGCACTAAAGGTATGCATTGTGTAATGTAACGAAGTAATTTTTTTAATGATAGTTTTTTCACCATTATATTACGTTACTGTGCTAATTCATAATATTCATAATTACTCAATATTCATAGTACACTACTGGCCAATAAAATTGCATCACAAAGGAAGGAATGCAAATAACAGAATGATATTAATTGGGCCATACATTATATTTGGAAGAACAAGTGATTAAATTTTGTAAGATATTTGGATGTATAGATCCTGAGGATTCAGTACTTAGAGCAGCCTCTTTTGGCAACAATAACTGCAGTTCTTTTCCTGGGCATCGAGTCGAACAGAGATTGGATAGCATGGATGGACGGGTACAGCATTCCGCGCAACTTCAACATTATGGCACAATTCATCGACCGTAGTGACAGACGAGTGGTGGCGTGCCAGTCTTTCGGCAACCATTGAACAGACTTGTTCAATTGGTGAGAGATCAGGAGAACGTGCTGGCCAGGGCAACAGGCGAACATGTTCTGTGTCAAGGAAGGTCAGGACAGTGCGGGCAACATGCGGTCGTGCAGGACCGGATTAAGCGTATGCGGGGCCCTTGGCCACTCAAATTTTTGGAGTCCTTAGAATAAATTTTTTTCTCGTAAATTTTTTATTTATTCAAATATAAAAGTATTTATATATCTTTTCATTTAAGAAAGCATATTTAAAATAAATAATAATAAATTAAATTTCACTTTATTTTATTAAATTCGAACTAAAAAATAATCATAAAATTTTGAACAATCACTGTTTTTTTTATTTTTTTCAAATTTATTTTCAAAAAATCCATTTTAAGGGGGTCCTTAATCATTGGGGGCCCCAGGCCATGGCCTAGTCTGGCCTAATGGGTAATCCAGCCCTGCGGTCGGGCGTTGTATTGCTGAAACGTAGCGTTATGGAGGCCTCGAAGAGGAGGCAGAGCAACTGACCCTAACACATCAGAAATGTAACGGCTGCTGTTCAAAGTGCCAGCAATGCGAACAAGAGCTGATCGAGACGTGTATCCAATGGCATACCATTACTCCAGGTGATGGGCCAGTATCACGATGTCGAATGCAAGTTGCCAATGGGCGTTGTTTTCCACGATATCACCAAACACGGATGTGGCCATCATGATGATGCATACAGAACCTGGATTCGTCTGAAAAGACGACGCTATGCCATTCCAGATTCAACGCCTGCGTCCAGGTTCGTCGTTGATCACACCATTGGAGGCGCTCATGTCTGTGCTGCAGCGTCAAGGGTAGCCGAAGCCATGGTCGCCGTGCAGACTGTCCATGCTGCTGCAAACGTCGACGAACTGTTCGTGCAGACAATTGTTGTCTTGCAAATGACCCCATTGGTTGACTCAGGGATTGTGAGGTAGCTGTACGATCCCTTAAGGCTATGGCTCCTCTTAAGGCCATGTGGATAACATGTCTGTCTTCTCAGCTGTTAGTGATGGGGGCCCGCTGATCAGTTCCATATGACGGTCATTTTTCTACCTAAATATTAAATTTGCAGCCATGCTGACGCTCAATGTACCAAGCAGAGTGGGCAAGGCGGGTGATCGCCCTGATTACCAGGTAAGGGGGGTGCTGAACGAGACCCAGATTTAATGATCTGTAAATTATTTATTTCCTTCTTTTTTAAAATATTGTTCGCTTAAAAAATAAATTTATGGGTTATTTTTTATTAATTGTATATTCTTAGGTTAACTTTTTTTTTTATGGTCAACGTTCTCTAAGTAAATTTTTTTACTAAAGATGGAAAGAAGATGGCTGTGGCAGAAAAAAATCTTTTCTTTTAAGATTTAAGGTTCACGAAGCCATTCAACAAACAAGTCAATATTCTCAAAAGGTAATATCCTCGCAAGAGAAAAAAGGAGTGACCTAGACCATGAGTCAAATTTTGTGTCAATTGAGCCTGTCTCCCTAACGAACTATTAATATAATGTGAATTTGCTGATACAATGTAATTTAAATTTGAGTTTTTCATCCAAATCTCGGTGGTCTTTTCGAGAAATTGGGACTATTTAGAAACAAGACCAGAAGATTAAATACCAAGATCTTAGAAAAAATTTTAAGTTAATAACAAGAAACATCTATACACTTATATAATATTTTACAAGCTTTGTTCTTTGATGTATATTTAAAATACTTATTAAAATTTTTTTCTGGAAAACTAAAGTAAGGTGTTGTTTTTCACTAAAAACATTTGCTAATATGTAGCTAGTTCCATAACTTCGTTATTCTTCTGATTTATCTAAACGCTTATAATTTTTGAAGGGCATTTAAAGAATTGTCAGATGAATTAATGATTTTATAAACGCCTAAAAATATTAATAATAATTCATTTTTAAAATAATTTTTTACAAAATGACGACATATTGAATGCAAATTATATCAATTGTGTCTATCGAAAATGAAACCGCAAAAACAGCTTGTTTTGAAGAACCTATAAAATTACTTGCGACTGTTAAAACACGAAAAAAGTTAAAGATTTTAATGTTTATGCTTATTTATTTGTATGTCATAAAATATTAAGTTCATTAAAGATATTACCTATAATAAATATTAATTCAAAAATACTTGAGGTGATATTCTTATTAATTAAACTAGCAGCTTTCTTTTTAAACCTTGTATGCATTAATTGTAATAAGTCTTATAATTCTCTGATTGAAATTTTGTATTTAAAATAAAAAAGCATTTTTCTACAGAATTATGATTACACCAGTAAGACAATTCAAAGATTTTTTTTTTTTTAGAAAAAAAGATTCCTTTGCAGCTTGAGTTTTCAGAATTGTCCGGAGCGCGACAAAGTTTTCATCCGTCACTGGTACCACTCTAGTACCAAGTTGCAAAGGTCGTAGCAGTCATCAGGGGCATGTGATTCTAATTGGCAAATGACACGAGAAATTTAAGAACTGCAGTACTCCTGACGGCAGTCATCAAGGTGTCTGAGCTTATGGGAATTAGAAGCTTTTGTGGATTCCTTTTCCATGCAATGCAGTTGCACGTTAGTTAAACTCAAAAAGTACTTTATGAAAATAATGTTGTTCACGGTATTGCATTCCTCAGGAGTTCCCTTGTCTTCTGAACTAAATTCATAATCACGAGTGTACAAAAGTGAACATTTATTGTGGTAGGTGAACGTAATATTCAACTACATGTTGACAGGTAGGCAATGCGAATCATTAATAGTGTTAGTTAACATTAGCTAAATAAAGGAAGTAATTTCAGGATGTTTTATGGTCTGCACTCAGAAGGTGATGTTAATTATTGATGCATGATGTCAATTGCTACCATTGGAAATGGGTAGGGAAAAAAGAAACGTAAATGAATGCATAAATATTTGTTAAAAGAAGAGAGAAATCAAATTTGCCCCTGAATGAAAAAAGCGTGAAATCGATATAATTCGTCATAATGTATTTGAAGAACAAGCTTTATTTTGCTTTGTGGGCAGGTATTTTATTTACGTCACACTAGAACTGTACAATGGGGCAACGTCTGGGTTATATCTTTGAGGATGTTCCGAACAAATACTATCGTGTCCAACTAATTGGAACCACTGTTCTATGATGATGTAGTTTAATAACTTTCTTTTCCCAAACAGAACAATATGCAGAAATGTAGCAAACAATGAGTAAACTAATAAACTGGATTGATTGATAATTTAATATAAAGTTTAATTAATACTCCATTGCCACACAGAGTAAATAATTTCGGACCCCCTGAACGTGTTCATTTCAATAATAAAATCTTGCATAAACTGAAAAACATAAATGAGCTAATTTAAATTGAAAGTAAGATAATTAATTTGGAGAATCTGTCAAATAAAATGAGTCATCAAACTTGTAACTTCGTAATTTCTATGACGATGATTATCCACTATTCATTTATGAGACACACACATTTAACCAATTCATTAGTTACCCATAGAATTTTTAATAATTTAAAATTTAGTTTATTAAATAATCTATGATAGACATAATACTGTGATAATCATTATAAAATTAAATTAAAAATTTTGTTTTTACTAATCATTCAAAATAACTCTTTTTATTCTGTAATTTGTGATTTATTTCATAAAGATGAAATTAACGTAATTAAATAATAAAGTCACTCAAATATTTTATTTTATTTTATCCGTCGTTGAACAGCCGACCCAATTTTGGGTTTACGACTACTAATATTAAACTCCGTAGCCTTGTAATTTTGAACCAATCCAGAAGACAAGGAAACTCCTGGATGAGTACCCCAGAGGATGAGAACCTGGATGAGAACCTCATATAGTTAGTCCTACTCCAAGAGATTTCTGACCCATGATCTGTCTACCTCTGGGAATAATTTTCGTCTGTGCTGTGGGTATTGCTAACCGGAATCAGGGATATAACACCATTATTTCAACTTCAGAATTAAAAGATAGTTGATTATTATTTTTATATTTTAAAAATAAATAATTTTATATTTTAAAAATTATAGCACTATTTTTCTTAATTTTATAAGCTTATTTGAGAAAATATGTTTATTAGAATGTGAGGAATTTTATCTTTTAACTTTGCTACTTTTAAATCAATTGAAAATGTGTTTTAAAAAATATAAATAAAGCCCTCAAGTAACGCATATAAATAATGGCCCCTTTTGCTGACGTGACAATAATTATGCGATATATTTTCCTCTTCCATAAATTAGTCCTTCTCATTCTTTTTTCCCTCTTACTTCAGCTTGAATATTAAGGATGTAGTTACAGAGGGAAAAAAAGAAAAAAACATTTAGCCTATACAAAGTAAATTAAAAGAAAAATTATTTGAAAAAGTTACGGATGAATCTATTTTTTATTAAAGAAGATTTCAATTATTTTTGTACAATTTTAAAAATGTAAATCGCAAATAAAATAAAGTCGCTAAGTTTAATGTGCTAATAAACAAATACTGATATCATAACAATAAACAAATAAAACAAATACTGATATAATACTGATAAATAAAACAAATACTGATATCAAATTATTATTAATTTGAGAAGTTTTATAAAAAAATTATTTTTCCAAACAAAATATTATAGAAAGCTTTTCCTTTTCGAATTCTAAATAAGTATTTTTCAACTTTCTTAAAATTTAAAAAGATTTTTAAACTCCCATTTCTCAGGTCAGCATCTCACGTCATAAATCAATGCTCATAAACACTTCAGTAAGAATATCTCTCGTAAGTTGTTTTTTTTCTTCTCTATTAAAGATTAGATTTAAAGTGTATGATTCATATTGAATTATTTTTATAACTTTTGCAATATTTAGTGAAGAAAAAGAATTTTCTATTACAGCAGACAAAAATTAAATTTTGATATATTTGCACGATCACATACATCGAAAAAGAGAACTGAAAAGAAGTAAAATTTTTTGATAACCGCGCCATCTGTAGTTTTTCTACTGTAAGTTTTGTTTTCACAATGAAATCTGTGCCAGGGAATGTGAAAAAAATGACTGTTGAATTAGAATGACAATAGTTCAACAGTAATAAAAGCAATCCCCTGTTTTTATACAATTCTATCTTTTAATAAAAACTCTGCAAAAGCGGCAGAAACTTGCTCAATTTCAGAATACAAAGATATGAATGACGTCAACCGCTTCTAGCCAATCGCGAAACGGGAGTTCCCTTCCTTCCATCGGTTTTTTTTCACTTTAACCCCACTGTTCACGCTCGGTCTAATGATTAACAAATCTAACACATGCGTTGAGGAAAGAAGTCTTGGCTGAAATCATACATCCTTAATACATATCTGGTAGGAATAATTGGTATTTATTTCACTCTACTTTATTATCTGAGCTATATTAATCTTATGTGAATTAAGTGTTAATATTAGAATGACTTACGGAAATGGTAAGACATAGCATTGTGTTTCTTGGCCGAGCCGGCATTTGAATTGTTTATTATTTCGCCATTGATATTACATTTCGCTTGGGTTTGATAATATTTTCTCAAAATTATTCTTTTGTGAATTAAGAATAATGTTATATTTGAGTGCATTTTGTTAAATTTTTGACAATATGAAAGAGTCTTGCTCTTTGCCGATCGAAATCCGCCATTAAGTTCAGGTACAGCTGCGTTTGTCAAATGATAGCGCGGGAGAATTACTTGTATTATTTTTATACCAACTTAAAATTGTGAATGTTTATTTTAATATAAATTTTATTAACATAATTCTTATTAATTAAATTATTTCGTATTATTCCACCACGTGTTGTTTGAGGTAGAGTACATCTCACTAATGGTATCCAGAAAAAAAATAAACAAACATGTTTCACAAGCGGTAGTCATTCAGGGATGGGTTTATACGTCATACACTGGATTGTTTATGTTCTACTGATTATCGTAATACAAAGAACTAAATTTAAGTGCTTTCTAAGATATTAAAATTATTAATAATTTTGTTCCTCATGTAAATAATACACGCTAAAGGTATGATTCAAGACTAAGTTTCAAATTCGTAATGCAAAACGATTAGATTAAGCAATAACACAATTTGTTCTTGGTCTTATTTTTATCAGATATTTTTAATCTTAGGAAAATATTTTTTAAATTTAATAAGTGTTTTTCATAACTATCATTTATACTTGTAATGAATTTTTTGTAACTGTTAAAGAAAATCAGCATTATTTTAATTTGTATCAGTTACTAAGTAAATGTTAACTACTGTAAGTTACGACATAAATAATAAAAATCAAATATTTAGCTTTGAAAATCAGGGTGGGTTGGTTTATACCAAATGTTTTTTTTTAAAGGTACCTAACCTCTTGTTTTGTTTCAAAAAAATATTTTAAATAATTAAGTTATCTGTTATTTATATAAATTTTTTCTGTTTTATTTTTACCAAATGAAAATATTTTTTTTTCTTCATTTTTGAGGTTTAATTGTTCATGGTGATCTGTATTACTTTAAATAAACATAAATATGCAATTCTAAAATCATAAATCCCATAAAAGTATCTTCATAGAATAATTTAATGTGAGCAAATTTAAGATAAAGTTGTAATATCTCTGAAAAATGCCAAAATTAAGTAAATATAATATAAATAAATATATCATTTATATATTATTATGTATTTATTTATATTATACAGAGGTCTGTCTAGGGCAAATTTACTACCGTTTAGCGGTACCTTCACAAATTCAACTTTATGAAAAACTCAAGTTTCACAAACTATTTTTTCTTAAAATTTTATTTTTGTCCCGTACGAAACGATAAATCCTTCCATATTGTAACTATATTTCTGAGTTGATTTTTTAATATAATTTCTAATTTTCACGAAATAGGTACCTCTCAGAAAACCTTGACAGACCCCTGTTATATGTATTAATTATATTATAAAAATATAGGGTGACCCGGGGTAATTCACGATCACTCTGTTTCTGGGGTAAATAATGATCACCTAGTGTGGGCCTACTGTTGAGATTAAAAAAATGAGATAATATTGAATAATCATTTAAAAAAAATACTATGATTACGCAAATATTTTTACACTCTACTTTTGTCTCAAGACTTTTACAGGTACAAAATAGTAAAAATGGTGGAAAAATACAGTTTGAATTTTATTCAAATTGGTATAGTAATTGTTTTTTAGTCCTATTTTATTAAAATACAAATGAGCAAATCATAATGAATTGCAAAAATTTAAACCATTAATGTTATTTTCTCATAATTTATGCTTTACGATTTTTATTTCTTACTTTTCATTTAAATTAGTTACATAGTTAGTGCCTAAATAAGCCATTTTGGTACACAAATTTCCTTTTGCAACAAATATTATCACAAAAATCAGGGTGAAAAACATTTCATCTGATATTCGTAGTTAGACTGCATTATCTAAAACAAGACATTTAACAAGAAATTAAACAATCTGAGAAAAATAAACTGCAATATAAAAATTATACACATTTTCCATAGATTGACTTATGCTTGCTGTAATATCAATTNAACAGCTATGAAGCCTATAAATATGGTGAGAAATTATAAGCCTAAAAAGGATACTAAGCTTCTAGAAAGCAAAAATAGTGAATTTCTTTTCATGATTGAAAATGAAAATTTCAGTGTGAGAGCTGCTGCCAGAGCTGAAGAGTTAATCTTTATTCCTGCTTTTAAATAAACGTTTTATTAGCAGTTTAAACATATATTTTTGGTTTATTTGTTTGATCTTAATGTCTTATTTGTTAATTACCATTGTATAATTATTTTTAAACAGCCCATTTACTATAAAAGCTGGTGATCAAGAATTACCCCGGAAATGATCAAGAGAAGGGGCAATTCCTGATCACTAAAAATTTAAGATCTTTTAAATTCTAATTAGATTTTCAAACAAAAGAAGGTAGAATAGGACTCATCTCATATAGCTTCAAACTTCCAGTAAATATTAAAATTATATCTTGAATAGTTTTTTCACAAAATAGATGTTTGCATTTTTTGATCAATAATTACCCCAGGTCACCCTAATCACTAATTCCATGTTCTGTTAGTTATTTGTGAACTAATTATAATTTACAAAAAATATACATGTTTGTTTAAATGAGTTAATAATTTATTTAATCAATCAACTACAGGGTTTAATTAAATTGCTATTAATATTTAGTACAGTTGTTAGAATAAATTTCCTAGTTACATGTTATGTTATAATAGCTTTAATGTTTTATTATATTATAATAGTTTTAATGCCTCTATTTTCTAATCTATGTAGCTTAACATCAATAAAAAAAAATGGTTTTCGAATTTTAGTCCTATTCTACTCAACTGAAAAATAAATTTGGAATACAAAAAACTTCAAAACTGTTTTTTTTCTCTCTCTCTCTCTCTTTTTTTTTTTGGTAATTGCACACTTTTGGAAAAGGGGGAATTAAAATGGTGAAAGTAAATGCAGATTGATTTCACATATAGTGAATAAGATAATTGTTGAGTAATTTATGAAGCTGATTGTTTTTGTATTTTTATTTGCAATAATTTAAGAAATTAATAGATTGGATAAATTTCAATTTTACATGTTTTTATTTATAATTTAATATTTTCTACCCCCAAATTAGGGTTATTGACAGTAATCGTCAAAACAAAAAGAGAGTTTAATATCAAAATAATTCAAGAGCATGATTGATCACATGCAATTTTATATGTATATTTGTTTTCAAATACTTATTAATAATAGAAAATAGTTATCATTGCACCGAAACATTTGGTTTTTGACCCTTTTATAAAAAGGGGTCGATTCAAACTGGATAAAACCTTCAATTACTAAAAAACTTGCCGACCCTGCGAGTAATCAAACCTGCATAATGTACTTGATTCATTTTTTTTGTAATTTAAATGTTTGTATATATATTAGAAGGAGATAACAGATTACCTCCCTCAAGCATACGATATAACTATGCCACTGCATATTTCTTATTTTCATGATTTTCTGACAGATAAAATTTTTTGTATTCACGTGATTAAAAAGCTACAATTATGATTCATGTTCAAGTCGTGACTAATGGTACATTGAAAATTTATATTTTCGTGATTTTAAAATGACACTTCGATCTTTGTATTTACGCGATTTTAAAATCGATCATCGAGATTCATATAGATTAGGGGTGCGCAACCTGCGGCCCGCGGGCCAAATGCGGCCCTTCGACTACTGAAGTGCGGCCCGCGAGAGCATCTAAACACAATAAAAATTTTTTAAAAAATTGCAATTTTTAATCGCACTTTTAAGTCATCACATTTTGACACTATCAATTTTAACAGATTCTTTAGTAAATGTATACGTATAACGCGCTTTCTTTAAGCCGATTTTATCGTAAATATAAATGATTTTTTAAACAGTTATTTCCGCTTTTCTACGTGATTTCGAAAATCTGGAATTTTTATTACGACGCGAGTTTCAGATCGCAAATTCAAATAATCACTTTTTGTGCACTTTATTTGTGACGAGTTCATCTTAAATCTAAGTGATTTTTTATCTTTTTTTTTGCAATTCTTTAGTTTTTTTTCAACAATTTTTCTCGGCAGTTATTGCTATGCGTTCCCACGTATTATAAAAAATTCCAATTATTCTATTACGACATGCAAATTTTAAATCATGCATTTGACACGCTTTATTCGTGCTGAGTTCAGCATAAATATATTTTATATTTTATTTAAATACAATTTCTATACTTTTCCACATGATTTTGACGATCCCGTTATTTAACTATGATGTTATTACGACACGTGATTGTTAATCGCGCAATTAAATANTTATTTTGAACTATCACAGTTTTGTTTTTATTTCAGGCTTTTGTTTAAAACCTATAAATTTTCCTCAATTAAAATATTTAATTTTAATTTATATTACACAATTACGGCTAAACTTTTTCCTACTTTCATTCTGTGAGCATTGCAGTTTTTATTTATTTATTAGAATTTAATTCTAAAATGAGTTTTCGTATTGCATGATATGATAAAAAAAAAATATTTCTTTTCTTCAATATTTATTTATTTTGATAAATCTATTGTTCATATGATAAAAATAGCAAGTTTTTTTTTCTTTTTGTAAAAAAAAAAAGTATAAGTTTTTTTTATTTTTGATTGAATTCTAATAATGGAACACTACTAAGTTATTGATATTTCTAAGTTTACTGATAAAAATAATGGAACGCTAATGTTTAAATAAACATTGCTACATTTGTCATTAACATGTCTAAATACATGTGCGGCCCTTCGTTAGCCAACCTGCTGTGCAAGTGGCCCTTCACTCAAAAAGGTTGTGCACCCCTAATATAGATGTTTGATC